CTACAACAACCCAGTGATTCCAGCCATGAAAGCCTTCGACAATGCCGTGCCTATGCTCTGTATGCCTATAGGGGAGGTTTTGAAGCCAAAGCCGAATGGCCATCTGTCTGGACATTTTGAATTGTCTCTTCTTCCTACCTTGCAGAATGGGGCAGGATGGGTGGGTGGCCCTTGGGGTCCCTTCCAAACTGATGATTCTAGGAAGGAAGGCAGGAAGGAAGGAAGGAAGGGAGAGGAAGGAAGGAAGGAAGGAAGGGAAGGAAGGAAAGCAGGAAGGAAGGAAAGGAGAGGAAGGAAGAAAGAAGGAAGGAGAAGAAGAAGGAAGGAAGGAAGGAATGCATTTATATCTTACATAGAAAAAAGGAAAGGAAGAAGGAAGGAAGGAAGGAAGGAGGGACAGGAAGGAAGGAAAAAGGAAGGGAAGGAAGGAGAAGGGAGGAAGAAGGAAGGAAGGAAGGAAGGAAGGAAGGAAGGAAGGAAGGAAGGAAGGAAGGAAGGAAGGAAGGAAGGGAAAGGAGTGAGGAAAGAAGGAAAGGGAGGGAAGGAAGGAAGAAGAGGGAAGGGAAGGAAGGAAGGAAGAAGGAGGAAGAGGAAGGAAGGAAAGAAGGGAAGAGAAGGAAGGAAGGAAGGAAGGAAGGAAGGAAGGAAGGAAGGAAGGAAGGGGAAGGAGGAAGAAGGGAGGAAGAAGGAAGGAAGGAAGGAAGGAAGGAAGGAAGGAAGGAAGGAAGGAAGGAAAGGCAGGAGGAAGGAAGAAGGAAAGAGGAAGGAAGGAAGGAAGGGAAGGGAAGGAAGGAAGGAAGGGAAGGGAAAGGAAGGAAGGAAAGCAGGAAGGAAGGAAGGAAGAGAAGGAAGGAAGGAAGGAAAGGAGGAAGGAAAGAGGAAGGAAGGAAGGAAGGGAAGGAGAAGGAAGGAGGAAGGAAGGAAGAGGAAGGAAGAAGGAGAGGAAGGAAGGAAGGAAGGGAAGGAAGGAAGGAAGGAAGGAGGAGGAAGGAAGGGGAAGGAAGGGGAAGGAGGAGAGGAAGGAAGGACAGGAAGGAAGGAAGGAAGGAAGGAAGGAAGGAAGGAAGGAAGGGAAGGAGGAAGGAAGGAAGGAAGGAAGGAAGGAAGGAAGGAAGGAAAGCAGGAAGGAAGGAAGGAGGTAGGGAGAGGGCTGGGGCCTGCCCAGTGTTCCGGAACCCTGAGGTCACAGCGGCACCAAGGAGACCAAGCTATTTCCCTTCAAAGCGGCCTCCGTTTCAGGTACTGGGGAGGCCAGGCCGGGCCAAGGAGGGGGCCAATGGGGGGAACTGGGGGACTCTTTGGGTGGGACTGGTTCCCAATCAGCTCCCAATGCGAAGGAGGTGGTCAGCTGTGCGCTGTCCTGGGCATGGGCCAACTCCGGCCCTCCCTCCAGGTCCGTTGGACTTCAACTCCCACTGTGGTCAAGCCAGGCCTCGCCTGGCCTATCTCTCTGCGTGTCCCTTTCTCCAAGGGTCAAGCCAGAACCACTTTCAAGGCAGCCCTCTCGCCCTCAGCTTCCTCCCACTTGCCCTGTCAAGGGCAAAAGGGGGATCTGGGGTCCCCCAAAAGGAGGGCTGGGTTTCCCCCTCTGTCCTGTTCTCGTAAGCTGCCTTTAGACTCCTTCCCAGAGAGAAAAAGCAGGGTATTATTAATAATAATAATATTAATAATAAATAAATAAATAATGGTGATTATAATATAAAGAATAATATAAATAATATGTATATAAATAATAATGATGAGATAATACTGATAATGTTAATAATTATATACATATAAATAATAAGTAATAATAACATAATAATAATACAAATAATAATACAAAGAATAACTATAATATAATATAAATAATAATATAAATAATCATACTGATAAAATAAATAATGATGATAATATAAATAATATGTATATAAATAATAAGGATGATAATACTGATAATGTTAATAATTATATATAAATAATAAGTAATAATAACATATTAATAATATAAGTAACAATAATATAAATAACAATATAAAGAATAATACAAATAATAAGTACAATGTAATATATATAATAATATAAGTCATAATACTGATATAAAATAAATGATAATATAATAAATAATGATAATGATAATATAATAATAATATAAATAATAATATGTATATAAATAATAATGATGATAATACTGATAATGTTAATAATTATATATAAATAATAAGTAAGAATAGCATATTAATAATATAAGTAACAATAATATAAATAATAATACAAATAATAATACAAAGAATAACTATAATATAATATAAATAATAATATAAATAATCATACTGATAATATAAATAATGATGATGATAATATAAATAATAATATAAATAATACGTATATAAATAATAATGATGATAATACTGATAATGTTAATAATTATATATAAATAATAAGTAATAATAACATATTAATAATATAAGTAGCAATAATATAAATAATAATACAAATAATAATACAAAGAATAACTATAATATAAATAATAATATAAATAATCATACTGATAAAATAAATAATGATGATAATATAAATAATATGTATATAAATAATAAGGATGATAATACTGATAATGTTAATAATTATATATAAATAATAAGTAATAATAACATATTAATAATATAAGTAACAATAATATAAATAACAATATAAAGAATAATACAAATAATAAGTACAATGTAATATATATAATAATATAAGTCATAATACTGATATAAATAATAATGATGATAATAATAATAATATAAATAATAATGATAATGATAATTTTGTTGAGAGGTGATTAGATGTCCCTGACTGTTTTCCCTCTGCTGTTTTGCTGTTTTAATTTTAGAGTTTTTTTTAATACTGGTAGCCAACAAAAGATTGCTCCAGGCACTGCCAGGCTCTCAAATGCTAATCAAGGTGGTCAGTTGAAACATTCACACCTAGCTCCAGCAGACAAGAGTCCTTTGTCCCACCCTGGCCATTCCACCCACTTTCCTAGTTCCAACAGACCTCACAATCTCTGAGGATGCTTGCCATAGATGCAGGCGAAACGTCAGGAGAAAATGCCTCTAGAACATGGCCCTATAGCCCGAAAACCCCCCACAAGAACCTAATGATAATTATTATTTCTTCCTCTCCGTGCTCCCTTCTTTCCTTTGAGGTACGCACGAGACTTGAATCAATATGGGTAATAATTATTGTTATTATTATTATTATTATTATTATTATTTCTCTTTTTCCTTGCTTCCTTCCTTCCTTGGAGCTGCGCATGAGAGCCAATGGTTCATTAGACCCGAGTCAATACAGCTTCTTCTTCCTCCTCTCTTCCCTTGCTTCCTTCCTTCCTTCCTTCCTTCCTTCCTTCCTTCCTTCCTCGGAGGTGCGCATAAGAGTCAAAGGTGCATTAGACCTGAGTCAATACAAGTACTAATTCTAATGATGGTGATAATGGTGTTGCATTTAAGATTCAATGCAACATTAGACTTGAGTCAATACAGTTAATAATAATAATAATAATCACAATCATCATCGTCTAATGGTGCATTTGAATTAGGTCAAGATGGGTGACGAAAACAACAACAACAACACCAACAATCCAATGGTGCATTAGACTTGAGTCAATATAAGTAATAATAGCAATTATGACAATTATTTATTTATTTATTTATTTATTTGCTCCCTTCCTTCCTTGGAGGGGTCGATGGTGCATTAGACTCGAGTCATTATGGGTAATAATTATTGATATTATTTATTGATGTATTGATTTCTCTGCATGCTCCCTTCCTTCCTCGGAGCTGCGCATGAGAGTCGATGCTGCCTTAGACCCGAGTCAATCCAGGTGGTGATGCTGATGCTGACCCTTAGGGCTGGGCGGTTTCATTCGTTAATTTCGTAATTCGTTATTAATTCGTTATTTTTTTTATAACGAAGCGATATTGAACCATTCAGGAGCAACTAAAAATCGAAACGAATTTTTCAATTCGTTTCGTAATTGTTTCGTAATTTCCGAAATTTCATAAATTTCGAACTTTTTTAAAGTAAAATTTCGGAATTCTTTTAAAAATTGAAACGCACAGCTAAAGCTTGTGCGCCAGCTGCGCCCGTACCTTGGGAAGTCTGACTTGGCCACGGTAGTCCACGCTCTGGTTACATCCCGTTTAGACTACTGCAACGCTCTCTACATGGGGTTGCCTTTGAAGACAGCTCGGAAGCTCCAACTAGTCCAACGCTCGGCAGCCATGATTCTAACAGGAGCGGAGCGCAGGGAGCATACAACCCCCCTGTTGCGCCAACTCCACTGGCTACCGATCTGCTACCGGGCTCAATTCAAAGTGCTGGCGTTGGCCTTTAAAGCCCTAAACGGTTCCGGCCCAAGCTACCTATCGACCGCATCTCTGCCTATGAACCCACCAGGACTTTGAGATCTTCCTGGGAGACCCTGCTCTCGATCCCGCCTGCTTCTCAAGCTCGGCTGGCTGGGACGAGAGATAGGGCCTTCTCGGTGGTGGCTCCTCGGCTGTGGAACGCCCTTCCTACGGACATTAGACTAGCACCATCTCTAATGGTATTCCGCAAAAAGGTGAAGACCTGGATGTTTGTGCAGGCGTTTGAGTAATTTAGTGCAATCTGGTAATGGAACATAGGAATGGAACAATGGACGACGAACCTTGACTACGCTTGGATGATGAGAAGATTGGGTACGGTTGTTTTTTGTAATAATTGTGCATTGTAATTGCTTATTGGTAATTTATGGATAATGTGTTAAGTCAATTGTTATATGTTGCATGGAATCACTGCTATTTCTACTGTTTTTACTGTTTGTGAACCGCCGTGAGTCGCCTTCGAAGGGCTTGAGATACAGCGGTATAGAAGCAAAGTCAATACATAAATAAATAAATAAATAATTTTTCCCGTGGTTGCCCAGCCCTACTGACCCTCCTTTCTCTCTCTCTCTCTCTCTCTCTCTCTCTCTCTCCCCGTGGGCAGAGATGGAGTTTGTGACGGGGTACCGCGAGGAGATCCTGGACTTTGCGGAGCTGCTCTTTGGCTGGTACCGCCGCTTCCTGCTGGAGGCCTCCCTGGGGTGGGGGTCTGCGGAGCCGCGCAAGAGGCGGGAGGGGTCCGTGCGCCGCCTGCCCCTGGACCCCGCCCTGTGGGTGCTGCACCTGCTGCCCAACCGCGCCCTGGCCTTCTCCGTCCCCGACCCCGGGCAGCAGGTGAGCAGCCGCTTCTACGGCGAGGAGGCCCTGGCCCTGCGGGACCTGCAGCGCTTCATCACCTTTGTGGGCGCAGGGGAGGAGGAGGAGGAGGAGGAGGTGGAGGCGGAGCTGGAGGCGGAGACAGAGGCGGAGCCAGCACAAGAGGATGGCAGGCCAGAGAGGAAGGAGGAGGCGCAGCCAGGCGGGGCCCGCACAGGTAAGGCCGCGGCTCACCTGCTCGAAAACGGGTCACTGTGATGTATTTATTTATTTATTTATTTATTTGATGCATTTATTAACCGCCATTCTCAGCCCTCTCGGGCGACTCATGGCGGTGTACAGCATAAAAAGGCAATTTACAAAAAGACAATTACAACAACATATTAGCAATACAGCAATACAACAATTAAAAGTTACACTAACTAATCCGCTTCGTCTCATAATAGAATCGTAACCAATCTCGTATTCCTTGTTCCATTCCAGTCATCTTTACCACATTATTATAGCACTTAATTAAATGCCCTCTCGAACAGCCATGTCTTAAGGCTTTTTCGGAAGGACATAAAGAGAGGGCGCCTGCCTGATGTCTGTAGGGAGAGTGTTCCACAACCGGGGGGCCACCACTGAGAAGGCCCTCTCTCTCGTCCCCGCCAGGCGTGCCTGTGAGGCAGGCGGGATCGAGAGAAGGGCCTCCCCAGACGATCTCAAGGTCCTCGTGGGCTCATAGGCCAAGATGCGGTCTGAGAGGTATTTTGGGCCGGAGCCGTTTAGGGCTTTGTAGGCCAACACCAGCACCTTAAATTGGGCCCGGTAGCAAATCGGCAGCCAGTGGAGCTGGGACAACAAGGGCGTTGTGTGCTCCCTGTATCCCGCTCCGGTTAGTAACATGGCTGCCGCGCGCTGAACCAGCTGAAGCTTCCGGGCCGTCTTCAAGGGCAGCCCCACGTAGAGAGCGTTGCAGTAGTCAAGCCGGGATGTGACCAGAGCGTGTACCACCGTGGCCAAGTCAGACTTCCCGAGATACGGGCGCAGCTGGCGCACGAGCCGGAGCTGTGCAAATGCTCCCCTGGTCACCGCTGAAACCTGGGGATCCAGGCTCAACGATGAATCCAGGGTCACACCCAAGCTGCGAACCTGCGCCTTCAAGGGGAGTGCGACCCCATCCAGCACAGGCTGTAACCCTATACCCTGTTTGGCCTTGCGACTGACCAGGAGTACCTCTGTCTTGTCTGGATTTAGTTTCAGTTTGTTCGCCCTCATCCAGACCGTTACAGCGGCCAGGCACCGGTTCAGGCCCTCGACAGCCTCCTTAGTAGCAGGTGGAAAGGAGTGACAGAGTTGGACATCATCTGCGTACAGATGACACCGCACCCCGAAACTCCGGATGATCTCACCCAGCGGCTTCATGGCCATATAGCCCGGGACCCCTAGGGGGGTCACGAGGGGGTTTCAGAGGGGTTTCCAAAGACCATCCAAAAACATAGTATTTTCTGTTGGTCATAGGGGTTCCATGTGGGAAGTTTGGCCCAATTCTATCATTGGTGGGGATCAGAATGATCTTTTATTGTAGGTGAACTATAAATCCCAGCAACTAAAACTCTCAAATGCCAAGGTCTATTTCCCCCAAATTCCACCAGTGTTCATTCACATTGGGCATGTTGAGTATTCATGGCAAGTCTGGTCCAGATCGATCATTGTTTGAGTCCACAGTGCTCTCTGGATGTAGGTGAACTACAACTCCAAACCTCAAGGTCAATGCCCACCAAACCCTTCCAGTATTTTCTGTTGGTCAAGGGAGTTCTGTGTGGCAAGACTGGTTCAATTCCATGCTCTTTGATTGTAGGTAAACTATAAATCCCACCAACTACAACTCCCAAATGACATCAATCCCCTGCCAACCCCACCAGTATTCACGTATTGGTGCCAAATTTGGTCCAGTGAATGAAAATACGTCCTGCATATCAGATATTTATATTATGATTCATAACAGCAGCAAAATTATAGTTGTGAAGTAGCAACAAAAATAATATTATGGTTGGGGGTCACCACAACATGAGGATCTGTATTAAGGGGTCACAACAATAGGAAGGTTGAGAAACACTGATCTGCCTGGCAAGGAATGCTAACCATTCACCTGGCATCCCTTTGTTTACCTTTCAAACACTTGGAAAACCTTCATTGCCTTTCCTTGGCACTCTCTCTCCTCTACAACCCTGCCTCTTCCTTGTCAGGGCCAGGATGAGCCTCTGGCAGCGCTTCCTGGGAAACATTCTCACTAAATGCAGATCAGTCTGTGAGGCAATTCCCATCTGCCTGGCAAGAAATGCTGACCATTAATAGTTATGGATGGAAATTAACTCACCAAAGTAGCCAAAGATGGACAGGACCAACACAGGTAAGGCTGCAACTCACCTGCTCGAAAACGGGTCACTGTGATGTAGCATCTAGACCGCAACACTTTGAGGATTCTGCCTGGCAAGGAATGCTAACCATTAGTAGTTATGGATGGAAATTAACTCACCAAAGTAGCCAAAGATTGGCAGGACCAGCGCAGGTAAGGCTGCAACTCACCTGCTGGAAAACGGGTCACTGTGATGTAGCATCTAGACCGCAACACTTTGAGGATTCTGCCTGGCAAGGAATGCTAACCATTAGTAGTTATGGATGGAAATTAACTCACCAAAGTAGCCAAAGATTGGCAGGACCAGCGCAGGTAAGGCTGCAACTCACCTGCTGGAAAACGGGTCACTGTGATGTAGCATCTAGACCGCAACACTTTGAGGATTCTGCCTGGCAAGGAATGCTAACCATTAGTAGTTATGGATGGAAATTAACTCACCAAAGTAGCCAAAGATTGGCAGGACCAGCGCAGGTAAGGCTGCAACTCACCTGCTCGAAAACGGGTCACTGTGATGTAGCATCTAGACCGCAACACTTTGCGGATTCTGCCTGGCAAGGAATGCTAACCATTAGTAGTTATGGATGGAAATTAACTCACCAAAGTAGCCAAAGATTGACAGGACCAACACAGGTAAGGCTGCAACTCACCTGCTCGAAAACGGGTCACTGTGATGTAGCATCTAGACCGCAACACTTTGAGGATTCTGCCTGGCAAGGAATGCTAACCATTAGTAGTTATGGATGGAAATTAACTCACCAAAGTAGCCAAAGATTGACAGGACCAACACAGGTAAGGCTGCAACTCACCTGCTGGAAAACGGGTCACTGTGATGTAGCATCTAGACCGCAATACTTTGTGGATTCTGCCTGGCAAGGAATGCTAACCATTCACCTGGCATCCCTTTGTTTACCTTTCAAACGCTGGGAAAACCTTCATTGCCTTTCCTTGGCACTCTCTCTCCATACCTGGAGGCATTGAGTTTTAGGTGATGCCCAGCCTCTTCTAGCTCCCTCGCCTCCATGTCGTCAGGAAGAGCTTCTGGCAGCGTTTCCTGGGAAATACTATCACTAAATGCAGATCTGTCTGTGAGGCAATTCCCATCTGCCTGGCAAGGAATGCTAACCATTCACCTGGCATCCCTTTGTTTACCTTTCAAACGCTGGGAAAACCTTCATTGCCTCTCCTTGGCACTCTCTCTGGGAAACATTCTCACTAAATACAGATCTGTCTGTGCGGCAATTCCCATCCGCCTGGAAGAAATGCTAACCGTTAATAGTTATGGGTTGAAATTAACTCACCAAAGCAGCCAAAGATTGACAGGACCAATGCAGGTAAGGCTGCAACTCACCTGCTCGAGAACGGGTCACTGTGATGTAGCATCTAGACCGCAACACTTTGCGGATTCTGCCTGGCAAGGAATGCTAACCATTCACCTGCCATCCCTTGTTTACCTTTCAAATGCTGGGAAAACCTTCATTGCCTTTCCTTGACACTCTCTCTCCATACCTGGAGGCACTGAGTTTTAGGTGATGCCCATCCTCTTCCACCTCCCTCGCCTCCATGTTAGGGGCAGGAAGAGCCTCTGGCAGCGTTTCCTGGGAAACATTCTCACTAAATGGAGATTTGTTGAAGGCTGCGACTCACCTGCTCGAAAACAGGTCACTGTGAAGTAGCATCTAGACCACAATATTTTGGGGATTCTCCCTTGCAAGGAAGGATAACCATTCATAGCCAAAGTTCTGGATTGAAACTAACTCATCAAAGCAGCCAAAGACAAGGACAAGTGGGGCCAGTGCAGGTAAGGCCACGACTCGCCTGCTCAAAAGTGAGGGTGATGTAGCAGCCTGACCGCAATACTGCCTGGATAATGGAATGGTTAATAATGGTGATGTAGAGATAAAAATTTGGGGTCTTTGCCAGGAGGCAGAGACCAATTAGACTCATCAAAGAGTTCTTTTTCCCTGGCGAGACAGAGAAGCATCCCATATTTTTTCCTGATTTCCCAATGTAAAGTCTCACCAGTTGAAGAAAAGCCATCAAGGTTTAATGCGATTTAGCTGAAACCGGATGCAGAGCTGCAATCATTCGCCAAAGCTGAGCATGAGGGGAATACACCAATACAGTCATATTTATAGCAAATTCAAAGTTGCAGAGTTCAAACTCCCCGGCTTCCCTGTTGTTCCCTGCCATGATTGGGCGATGGGCAAACAGTTGGGAGGCGGCCCTCCTGCCCCCGGTGCCTCTGGACCAATCAGGAAGCTCCAGTGGTCGGTAGGAACCAATGGGGAGACCTCTGCCACCTGGTGGCGACAGCCAATCAGGAGAGATGGAGGTGGGATGAGGGAGCACAAAGGAATCTGGGAAAGGAGTAAACAAAGGAAATGCCATGTAGCCTGAGACAAAGAGCTCAAGCAGGGCTGCTTTGAGTATTGTGAATCAACATGTGTCCTGATCCTTCCTGGCTGTGAGACAGGAGAACAATGATGGCAGCCTGAAGTTAATGCTAAGTAAACAAAAGTAGAGGGGAAGATTTCCCCTTATCTTACAGAAACTTTTGTCAAACAATTCTTTCCTCTAGTGGGCCATCTTCCGATGCTAGAGATAAGAATCTCCTTCTTTTATCCCTGCAAGTGTGTCTTTGGTGGGAGGTTTCAGTAATCGCTAATGGCTTTTGTTTCTGAAGGCCAGGGGGTTCCCTTACATATTTCTTTGGAGGGAGAAGGGGCAAAGGGTCAGGAATACAAGGAAACATAAAACCATATAGAAATTATACACAGGGAAATCATATGCAGCTATCTTCCCATCCAGGACCCCAGAGAGAGATTAATAATACCAATTATAAAAAGCAGACGATATCAGGACACAGCATGAATTCATAAGTTGTCTTGAAGAAAGTTCATGGGTAGAGAGCGAGTCCTTGAAGAGAGTGAAGTCCAGGAATGTAGCAGAATTCAAAAAGCCACAAAGGGAGTCTATGGAGTTCCACTGGGCCAAGACGCAAAGCCCTGCAGCGCTGGGATGGAAGCCGGTCCCATGGTCCTTGGAAAACTACAGCTCTCTCTCTCTCGAGAGAGAGGCAGAGACCCCAAGGTCTAGCTATTTCCAAAGTTTCATGGGGTCCTCATTGTTGTTAAGGCCTTGGCAAATTGACCAAGACTTAACCCCTATTGTGCAGTCTGGTACCTTTGTCCTTTGCAGAACTATAAGTCACTATCCCTTGTTGGGGGGGGGCATGTTCGACTTCAATGGAACTGTTCAGTTTGTTTGCCTTTGTCATTGGAAGACCCCCAGTGCTGAGGCCCCTCCCTCTTGTGTTGCAGGGCTGGGCCTGGGCCTGCGCCGCGTGGAGTGCCTCCTGCTGGTGACGGACGAGCACGGCACCATCCTGGGCTTCGACTTCCTGCTGGGGGGCCCGGGGCCCTCCTCCCCCTCCCCATTGGGGACCCCCCTGGAGGGACGGGCCCTGGCCCTCCTCCTCCACTGCATGGCCTGCCCGCTGGGCGCTGGGGAGCCGCGCCGGCCCAAGACCCTCACCGTGGGGGACCCCGCTTTGCACAAGTAAGCAAGGGGGTGGAAGGGGAGGGGTCCTACTGGGTCCGGGCAGGGACATTCCAGTTTTCCAGGCTGTTTGGCCATGTTCCAGTAGCATTCTCTCCTGAAGTTTCGCCTGCATCTGTGGCTAATGGCTTATTGGTGAGGTAACTGGAGTGTGTATATATCCCTGTGGAATAATGTTCAGGGTGGGAGAACGAACCCTTGTCTGTTTGAAGCAAGTGTGGATGTTGCAATTGGCAAGCTTGATTAGTATTGAGTAGCCTTGCAGCTGCAAAGTCAATCAGGGAGGGTATCTGCGTGAAGGTAGCCTGGCCTCTGCTGCCTGGAGGCATCCTCTGTAGAATAATGTCCAAGGTGGGAGGAAGAACCCTTGTCTGTCTGAAACAAGTGTGAATGTTGCAATGAACAAGCTTGAATTAGCACTGAAGTTTGCAAAGTCAACCAGGGAGGGTAGCCTGGCATATAATAACGTCGAAATATCAAACCATAATGGATTCCGTGTGGAGAAATTTGGTCTGTTGTCAGTGAGGCAAGTGGATTGTATCTATACCTATGGAATTATGTTCAGGGAGGGAGGAAGAGCCCTGGTCTGTTTGAGGCAAGTGCGGATGTTGCAATTAGCAAGCTTGTATTAGCATTGAGTAGCCATGAAGCTGCAAAGTCAATCAGAGAGAGTCTCTGCATAGCGGTAGTGAAGCAAGTGGAGTGTAAGCCTGTGGAATAATGCCCAGGGTGAAAGAACCCTTGTCTGTTTGAAGCAAGTGAGGATGTTGCAGTGAGCAAGCTTGAATAGCGTTGAGTAGCTGCAAAGTCAATCAGTGAGGGTATCTGCATAGAAGTAGCCTAGCCACTTTGCAAACAGGGTGGGGGAAAAGAACCCTTGCCTGTTGCAATGAGCAAGCTTGAATTAGCATTTGAGTAGCCCTGAAGTTTGCAAAGTCAATCAGTGAGGGTATCTGCTTAGAGGTAGCCTAGCCCCTTTGCAAACAGGGTGGGGAAAAAGAACCCTTGCCTGTTGCAATGAGCAAGCTTGAATTAGCATTGAGTAGCTGCAAAGTCAATCAGTGAGGGTATCTGCATAGAGGTAGCCTAGCCACTTTGCAAACAGGGTGGGGGAAAAGAACCCTTGTGTGTTGCAATGAGCAAGCTTGAATAGCATTGAGTAGCTGCAAAGTCAATCAGTGAGGGTATCTGCATAGAGGTAGCCTAGCCACTTTGCAAACCGGGTGGGGAAAAAGAACCCTTGCCTGTTGGAATGAGCAAGCTTGAATTAGCATTGAGTAGCTGCAAAGTCAATCAGTGAGGGTATCTGCATAGAGGTGGCCTAGCCACTTTGCAAACAGGGTGGGGAAAAAGAACCCTTGCCTGTTGCAATGAGCAAGTTTGAATAGCATTGAGTAGCTGCAAAGTCAATCAGTGAGGGTATCTGCATAGAGGTAGCCTAGCCACTTTGCAAACAGGGTGGGGAAAAAGAACCCTTGCCTGTTGCAATGAGCAAGTTTGAATAGCATTGAGTAGCTGCAAAGTCAATCAGTGAGGGTATCGGCATAGAGGAAGCCTAGTCACTTTGCAAACAGGGTGGAGAAAAAGAACCCTTGCCTGTTGCAATGAGCAAGTTTGAATAGCATTGAGTAGCTGCAAAGTCAATCAGTGAGGGTATCAGCATAGAGGAAGCCTAGCCACTTTGCAAACAGGGTGGGGGGAAAGAACCCTTGCCTGTTGCGATGAGCAAGCTTGAATGGCATTGAGTAGCTGCAAAGTCAATCAGTGAGGGTATCAGCATAGAGGTGGCCTATCCACTTTGCAAACAGGGTGGGGAAAAAGAACCCTTGCCTGTTGCGATGAGCAAGCTTGAATGGCATTGAGTAGCTGCAAAGTCAATCAGTAAGGGTATTGGCCTTTTTGGCTGCACATCTCCCCATTTGCAGGTCCCTGGAGCCACTGCTGGGGCGCCTGGGGGTGAAGATGAGCAAGGCGCCCATGCGTGGTTGGGGCCCCCGCCCGGCCTTCTCCTTCCCCACCACGCGGGGCCGAGCCTGCCACGTCTGCAAGAGGCACAGCTTCGAGGGGCCCCTCGCCCCATGGTGAGTACGGGGCCCGGCCCCCCTTCAGGTCAGCGTTTAGAAGGTGAGGTTGCGCCACAGCAAAGCCAAAGGAAGTCGTGTTCTGCATAGGACCCCCGCCCCCCAAAACTGGGGGCAGCTTCAGGGCAGAGTGGAGCTCCAAAGAGAATACAAAGAACAGTGTGGTGTGGGCTTTTGGGATCTCATCATCATCAGTATTGGAAGTATTGGAAAAGTATTGGAAAGGTATTGGGAAGGTATTGGAAAAATATTGGAAAAATATTGGCAGTATTGGGAAAGTATTGGAAAAGTATTGGAAGTATTGGGAAAGTATTGGAAAAATATTGGCAGTATTGGGAAAGTATTGGAAGTATTGGGAAAGTGTTGGAAAAATATTGGCAGTATTGGGAAAGTATTGGAAAAGTATTAGAAGTATTGGGAAAGTATTGGGAAAGTACTAAAAAAGTATTGGACGTATTGGGAAAGTGTTGGAAAAGTATTGGAAGTATTGGGAAAGTATTGGAAAAGTATTGGAAAAGTATTGGAAGTATTGGGAAAGTATTGGAAAAATATTGGCAGTATTGGGAAACTGTTGGAAAAGTATTGGAAGTATTGGGAAGGTATTGGAAAAATAATGGCAGTATTGGGAAAGTATTGGAAAAGTATTGGAAGTATTGGGAAAGTACTCAAAAAGTATTGGATGTATTGGGAAAGTGTTGGAAAAGTATTGGAAGTATTGGGAAAGTATTGGAAAAGTATTGGGAAAGTACTCGAAAAGTATTGGAAGCATTGGAAAGTTATTGGGAAAGTATTGGAAGTATTGGGAAGGTATTGCAAATGTAGTGGAAAAGGTATTGGAAAAGCATTGGAAAGGTATTGGGAAAGTATTGGAAGGGTATTAGGAAGGTACTGTAAAAGTATTGGAAAAATATTGGAAGTATTTGAAAGGTATTGGAAGTATTGGAAAAGTATTGGAAAGGTATTATAAAAGTACTGGAAAAGCAGTGGAAAATTATTTGGAAAGTATTGGAAGGGTATTAGGAAGGTACTGGAAATGTATTGGAAAAATATTGGAAGTATTTGAAAGGTATTGGAAGTATTGGAAAGGTACTGTAAAAGTATTGGGAACGTATTGTAAAAGTATTGGGGAAATATTGGAAGCATTGGGAAAGTATTGGGAAAGTATTGGAAATATTGGGAAAGTATTGGAAGTGTTGGAAAGTTATTGGGAAAGTATTGGAAAAGAACTGGAAAAATATTTGAAGCATTGGAAATACTGGCCTGCCTGCTTGACGATGCCCCCTCCCCACTTTGTGCCCCCTCCCTCCCTCCCTCCCTCCCCCCTTTGCAGCCACCTCTGCCGGGCGGTGCTGTACTGTTCGGAGCGTTGCCGGCAGCTGGATTGGGACCGGAGCCCCGAGGACGTGGCACACCGCTTCTGGTGCCAGCGCATGGCCGCCTACATGGGCCGCGCACGGGAACTGGCCAATCTGCCCTTCACCTTCGCCGCAGGTGGGGCTGAGGCAAGAGACAAAGGGGCAGGGGCACATTGAGGGGGGTCCTTTGCTGACCCCTGACCTTTCTTCTCCCCCCTCCACCCCCCCCCCCAGAGGCCAGCAGCGAGACCTTCAACAAGGAGGGCTTCCTGGGGTCGCGGGGGCTGACCCGGGGCTACTGGGCCGGAGAGAGCATGATGGTGCGCGCCCCTGGGTACGGCGTGGGGCTGGCCCCCCCAGGAATGGGACCCCTCCTCAAGAGTGGTGAGAAACAAACAACCCTCCCTCCCCCCCCCCCCGATCCATCCCTATAAATGGCCTGAGGTGACAGTCTCCAAGGGATTCCTCTGGGAAGCAGTCCAGCTCCTGGGCAACATGAAGTCATGCAAGTCATAAGGACGGAGGCATTTGGACCAATGAATTTGGCTGGGCATTGAGGACTTGTTTGGACACCTTCCTTCACCTTTTCCAGGTAACCCTTTTGAGGCGCTGCGGCCAGAAGGAGGGACGGCGCTGCCCCCGGCCCCCCCGGAGCCCCCCACCCCTCGGACCTACTTTGGTAAGACAGCGGCTCAGTGTGGGTATTCATGACCCCTTTACAGCATCTGCTGCACATGGGACAGCTCAATAACAACAACAACAACAACAACATGTGGTGCAATACAACAGCCAGCAGAGTGTGTGCTGTGGACTCATCTTGTTGTGTTTCAAATTATTATTATTATTATTATTATTATTATTATTATTATTATTATTTACCGGGATTGTGGCGCAGCTGGCTGAGTGTCAGCTGCATTAAGATCACTCTGACCAAAAGGTCATGAGTTCGAAGCCAGCCCGGGTTGGAGTGGGTTTCCAACCAATTGTGTAGCCCGTTGTCGACCTTTGCAAACATACATAAATATGTCCCCGAGGGGACTCGGAGCAGCTTACAACAAGAGTCAATATACAGCAAATATGCCACGCAGATGCACAATAAAGAACAAGTAGTTTTCGTAATACAGAACCACATCTATACAATCATGCAATCAGTTGCATTGACTGAAATAATGCCCTTTTAGAGAGATTTAAAATGGTCTATCTTTGCCCATGTGGAAAATCTTCCTCCGACAGTTCATGAAGCAAGAGCACAAACACTATCTCTCCCTGCTTCTGCAAGCGCTTGCACAGCTCAAGTCTGAATATGTAACAGTAAACAAAACTCCCAGGCTCAGCTAGCTCCCTGGGTGTAGCCCAGCCAATCAGCATCGTGCATATTATTTTACAGTTCACACAGAGGCGGTCCTATGTAATTTTCAGTGGTAAGCAAACAGTATTTTGGCACCCCCCCCCCCCAAACCAATTACTGATATATATTTTCTGTTGGTCGTGGAAGTTCTGTGTGCCATATTTAGTTCAATTCCATCATTGGTGGAGTTCAGAGTGCTCTTTGATTGTAGGTGAACTATACATCCCAGGAACTACAACTCGCGCATTTCATGAAGCAAGAGCACAATCGAACACGGTCTCTCTCTGCTTCTGCAAGCACTTGCACAGCTCAAGCCTGAATATGTAACAGTCACCAAAACTCCCAGGCTCAGCTAGCTCCCTGGGTGTAGCCCAGCCAATCAGCATCATGCATATTATTTTACAGTTCGCACAGAGGCGGTCCTAGATAATTTTCAATGGTAAGCAAACAGTATTTTGGCACCCCCCCCCCCCCAAACCAATTACTGATATATATTTTCTGTTTGTTGTGGGAGTTCTGTGTGCCATATTTGCTTCAATTTCATCATTGGTGGAGTTCAGAATGCTCCTTGATTGTAGGTGAACTATACATCCCAGTAAGTACAACTCGCGCATTTCATGAAGCAAAAGCACAATTGAACACTATCTCTTTCTGCTTCTGCAAGCACCTGCACAGCTCAAGCCTGAATATGTAACAGTAAACAAAACTCCCAGGCTGAGCTAGCTCCCTGGGTGTAGCCCAGCCAATCAGAATCATGCATATTATTTCACAGTTCACACACACACACACACACTAACTGATTTCTTACCTGCCCTAATAAAAGGGCACATAGCAAACCATGGAAGTAAACACTTAAGCGGCTGAGGGGGGAAAAGGAAAGGGCCTGAGGCTGCGAGGAATTGTGGGAGTTGGAGTCCAAAATGCCTGGGGGGTCCAAGTTTGCCCGTGCCTGCTTGAGTCTGAATTTTGAAAGGAGCTCATTGAGCTGCGGGAAGGATTTGGGGAGGAAGGAAGCAGCTAGCACCATGGACAGTTCTTTGAGAGTTTGGCTGGAGTTGATGTGATTGATGGGCCACACCCTCTTATATCTGTCTGACCCCCCCCCCCCCACTTCACTTTCTGTTGTGATGCAGGATCATGGAAGGAATACTATCAGTGGCGGGGGCTGCCCCTGGGAGCCCCCCTGGCGGTCATCCTGACCTACCCGCTGACCATGTACTACATCATCACCCAGCTGGCCCCACAGCACTGTGAGTATTGAATATTGGGGGGGGGTCTCTATGGGGGTCCCCAAATACCCCCTTCTTACACAAGGGGGAGAATGGGGAGGGGGTCTCAGACCTACATTGTAATATTTTCCTCCTCCCCCCACAAATCTAGGAATATCTAAATGCTAATCAAGGTGGTCAGTTGAAACATTCACACCTAGCTCCAGCAGACAAGAGTCCTTTGTCCCACCCTGGTCATTCCACAGATATATAAACCCTTTTTCCTTCTTCCAAGAGACCTCACAACCTCTGAGGATGCTTGCCATAGATGTAGGCGAAACGTCAGGAGAAAATGCCTCTAGAACATGGCCATATAGCCCGGAAAAACCTACAACAACCCAATCTAGGAATAGTTTAAACTGAAGGGCTATATATATATATATATATATATATATATATATAATGTCATACAATAATATAGACCCCCCAAAGGCCATCTAGTCCAGCCCACTTCTGCCTTTGTGCAAGAAAAGCACAATCTAATCCCCCTGACAGATGGCCATCCAGCCTCAATAATAATAATAATAATAATAATAATAATAATAATAATAATAATAATAATAATATATCGTAACATTTTATTTTTATTGAATTATACCATTAATGTTGCAACCCAGAGCAGGAAACGAGACCCTAAGACAACAATCCACCACACTTGAGTGTGGGGAAAAAACAATCTCTTTTTATTGATGAAAAATGGTTTCAAAATAGAGGAAAATGCAAAGTCAAAAAGCCACAGTAAAATTCAGCAGTTAGGAATATCCATGAATTAGATCAAAAACCAAAAGCAACACTGTAAAACCCTGGAACCTGTTAGCAATCCACTAACCGTATTTGGAGCACTAGAAGCCTCTTGGGATGTAGGCCACGGGAGACGGGAAATCTGCCAAGGTAATGCCTCAGTCTAAACAATGCCTGATCTAACGAGTCAACCTGGCGGGAGGCACTTAAAGCTGAGGAAACTGTTTCGTGACACGCCTCCAGGCTTTGAAGCCTTTGCTTCTTTTTCTCTTACTCTGGTTGACCTTCGCAGACTCTGCGATTCACTCCTGTTTTGCCAAATCTGTCCTCTTCTATCCTCATTAAGGATCCCAGGTGTTAGCTTCTCTGGAGAGCTATCACCGCTTGGCTCTGAAACATTCTCATCAGAATGTGTAGTTTCACTTTCCAAGCCTTCCAAGCCTGTAGGAGTTTCTTCTACACTGACCTCAGAATCAACATTTTCATTAGCATCAGGGAAAAATACATCTTCAGTAGCATCAGGAAATACAATCAGAGAATCAGGTTCAGGTTCAGGTTCACACCCAGGCTGAACCCCAACAATTAATAAGTAAAAGCACATTGAAAGAGTGAGAACAATTTCCAGATAGAAAAGTTATGAAAAAGAGAGGATTTTAAAAAAAAGGGCATTGGAAGAAGAAATATTATTCTAATAATCTATCTAAATAAATAAAAAATGTAATGATTGTTTGTGGGGACTTCATAGCCCCCAAACCACTGGACAAATTGACTCAAGATTTGGACACAATACACCTGTCAAACTAATATTTATTTTATTTGTCGGGTTAGGGCAACCAGTCAATTATATTACATTTCTAACAGAACAAAGCAAACAAACAGACAAAATACAAAATTTGCTACTTTGGTAGTTGGTTAAATGTCCTTTGTCCAGCATCTGTCCCCTTGGAGTGCCTCTGGTGTTGCCGCAAGAAGGTTCTCCCTTGTGCATCATGTGGCAGGGCTCAGGGTGCATTGCAGCAGGTGGACAGTGGTTTGCTCCTCTCCGCACTCACATGTCGAGGATTCCACTTTGTGGCCCCATTTCTTCAGGTTGGCTCTGCATCTCGTGGTGCCAGAGCGCAGTCTGTTCAGCGCCTTCCAAGTCGCCCAGTCTTCTGTGTGCCCAGGGGGGAGTCTCTCATCTGGTATCACCCACGGGTTGAGGTGTTGGGTTTGAGCCTGCCACTTTTGGACTCTTGCTTGCTGAGGTGTTCCAGCAAGTGTCTCTGTAGATCTAAGAAAACTATTTCTAGATTTAAGTCATTGACGTGCTGGCTGATACCCAAACAGGGGATGAGCTGCAGGTGTCTCTGCCTTGATCCTTTCACTATTGGCTGCTCCTTCCCAGCGGATGTCAGGTGGTGCAATACCGGCTAAGCAGTGTAATTTCTCCAGTGGTGGAGGGCGCAGGCACCCTGTGATAATGCGGCATGTCTCATTAAGAGCCACATCCACTGTTTTAGCGTGGTGAGATGTGTTCCACACTGGGCATGCATACTCAGCAGCAGAGTAGCATAGCGCAAGGGCAGATGTCTTCACTGTGTCTGGTTGTGATTCCCAGGTTGTGCCAGTCAGCTTTCGTATGATATTGTTTGTAGCACCCACTTTTTGCTTGATATTCAGGCAATGCTTCTTGTAGGTAATGTGTGACCATCTCTAACAAAAACACAAAATAAACCCACAGCAGCAAGGAATTAAAAACCCCAAAATGCAAAAAGGCGATACAGCGCATGCGCAACAAAGACTCCTCTGGACGTCCAGTAGCGAGTATGCGTGCACATAGGAGAGGTCATGGAGCCCGGAGCGCAGTGCCGTCTCCAGTCTGCAGAGAGGTTTCTGCGAAGGCCTCATGTGGGTCTGGGGTCCCCAGGTGAAGACCAGAGTGACCCCCTCTTGGTTTTGCTGTCTCTTTCCTTCCTCCTTTTTCAGTCCCAGAGCTGAACATCCTGAACAAGCAGTCCCTCAAGATCCATGTGGTGGAAACGGGCAAGGAGTTCGGGGTGCTGATGGCCTTCTGGGTAAGTAATTGGGGGGGGGGGTCTCCAAGGGCAGAGGGCGGGAGGAGGTTAGGGTCGGTGGAGTTAATTTATTCCTAGGGCAAAAGGATCTGGCCACTTACATATAATTAAATGAAACATCAGTCTTCCATCAGACAACGGGCAATGAACTAAGTCTTTAGCAGCAGAAACAAAACAGATTCTGTTGGAGAGAAAACTTCAGTATCAGGGTCGTTGTTACCAGTGAAATCTGACTGCTCCTGCCCCTGATTTATAGTCCTGAATTCCCCACGCAGACTAGGACGTCTCCCAATTAGCTCAGCGTTTTTAGCAGCTGAACGCCGTTTGTGCTCTGTCTCTTTTCGTCTCTCTAGAAATGTGGGCACTTTCAAACCCTCATCACCTTTTATATAAAAGCATCAGCATACAATTTACATTACATATCCAAACGCTGGTAACAACGACTCTGATACTGTTGTTTTCACTCCAACTGAATATGTTTTGTGTCTGCTGCTAAGAACGCTGAGCTAATTGAGAGACGCTCTAGCTCCTCCTGCATGAGGAATTCAGGGCTATAAATCAGAGGCAGGAGTAGTCAGCTTTCGCTGGTAACAATGACCCTGATATTGCTGGAATCTGTTTTGTGTCTGCTGCTAAGGACTTAGTTCATTGCCTGATGGAAGACTGGTGTTTCTTTTGGGACTTTGTAAGAGATTTTGATTTGTGTCTGGATTAAGACTTCCGTGCCTTTTTTTTTTTTTTGCACTTTCCAATTGCATTTGCTTATCCTTTGTGTTTGCTGAAGTAAAGTATTTTTCTTTTACTTTCAACATTGTCGAAAGGCTGTTTTTGGAGGGCAACTCAGGACACTATTCAAAGCTAAAAAAAAAAAAAGAACCCCATGCAGTTAGCAGTGAAATGGCAGGGAATAGGTTTTGAGGAAAGGAGACACAAAGAGAGGTCAGAGGTCTGAAAAGCAGCATGGCTTTATTACCAGCTGGGCCTGGCGAGGAGTTCTCTCTTAAAGCACCAGAGCACCCAATCAAGGGGCTGACTGCCTTTTATAGATTCGAATCGGAGTCAAACAAAGAAACATGCTACTACATACAATATTGTCATTCCCACGTCATCTTAGCATCATAAGAATATCAAGTTCTAACTTCTAACATGCAAAAAGGCATGTCTGTGTCTTGCTGAAGAGCAAGCGTCTTACAGTCATCCATCAAGGGGCCCACTCTGACCTGTCAAGAGGCTCCTTCCTTAGAAGGAAGACACTGGGCCTTTCGTACCAGCCTGTGGCTTATCTCCTGGAATATAGAGATAACATGCCCCACTTCTCCTCCCTCCTGCCATGCCTGCTTGTCTTGTCAGCATTCTTTTTACACACACACACACACAGAGCCTGAATGTTCTATACATTTAAAGTACATATGATTTTATGCATAAATCAATCAATAAATATCTATTTTTCCAATATCTCCTCATCAGCAGGAGCGTGATGCAATCAAACACGTAAGATGCTGACAGGTTGACTGACATTCTAACACACCCTGAGAAGAAAGAAACAACTTTGTAGCCTCTCCTCCTTCAAAGGGGATGGAGCGTGGTCCTGATTCCTCTTCTGTTCTTTCATGGGGAGGCCTTTACTCCGTGGTTGGGGTACTTCCCTGTCCGAAGGGGACTGGACTAGATGACCTCAGGGAGACCCCTTCCCGCTTGCAAGGCCCTATGTGTTGACATTTCCCTCCTTTTGCAGGAGCTGTCCGTGCTACTGCCCCACGTCTCCTTGGAGCTGCTCTTTGTGGGGGACACTTTACCCCCCGAGTTGGATGGCCAGCAGTTCCTCTTGCAGAGAGATGTGAGTCGGAGGCTCTTCTCTATGGAAGGCCCTATAAGCCCTGGTTCATTACAACAACACATTGGTAATGGTGGTGGTGGTGGGGGAGGGAGGTTCTCTGCATCCCTCTTCCCTCCCTTGCACAACCATCACCACTTTTTTCCTTAGTCAAAGGCGTGATTTATAGTTTTCCCCTTCCAGTCATGCCCTCCCTACATACTCTGCACACCAGACTGATTGTCTCAAAGGCAAGCTTTAAAAATCAACCTATACTTAGCAGAGTCCTTATCACTAGTTAGCAGAGTTTTACTGCATCATCTGACCTTGTGCCGCTCACTGTTTAAGACTTGGAGCTGCTCTTTGTTGGGGACACTTTACCCCCCGAGTTGGACAGTAAGCAGTTCCTCTTGCAGGGAGACATGAGTCGGCGGCCCTTTTCTATGGAAGGCCCTATTAGCCCTGGTGCATTACAACAGCACATTGGTACTGCCCGTCACCCCCTCTTTCCCCTGTCTAAGGTGTGATTTATAGTTTTCTTTTTCCAGTCATGCCCTTCCTACATACGCTGAGCACTAGACCAATTGTCTCAGAGGCAAGCTTTAAAAATCAACCTATACTTAGCAGAGTCCTTATCAGTAGTTAGCAGAGTTTTACTTTATCGTTGGACCTCAAGACTTTGACTCAGTTTTCATCCAAGCTCACAGTGGAGGCTTTTGTTGCAACCCAGATCAGGAAACAAGACCATAAGATATTAATTCACCACACTTGACCGTAGGAAAAAACAATCCTTTTTTATTGATGAAAAATGGTTACAAAATAGAGGAAAATACAAAGTCCAAAAAGCCACACTAAAACTCAGCAGTCAGGAATATCCTAGTTCATAGATATTCCTGACTGCTGAGTTTTAGTGTGGCTTTGGAATCAAAATTCCAAAAACAACACTATAAAAACCTGGAACCTGTTAGCATCTCACTAACCGTACTTGGAAACTAGAAGCCTCTGGGAATGCAGGCCATGGGAACCGGGAGATCTGCCAAGGTAATGCCTCAGTCTAAATGATGCTTGATCTAACGAGACAGCCTGGGGGGAGACACTTAAAACTAAAGAAACTGTTTCGGGACACGCCTCCAGGCTTTGAAGCCTCCTTTTCCTTTAATCTACTTGACCTACGGAGGCTCTGTGATTCACTCCTGTTTTTCCAAACCTGTCCTCTCCTATCCTCATTAAAAAAAAGGCAGGTGCTAGCTCCTCTGGAGAGTTATCACCGCTTGATTTTGACACATTCTCATCAGGATGTGTAGTTTCACTTTCCAAGCCACTGCCTTCAGAATCAACAGTTTCCAAACCATCAGGGAAAAATACATGTTCAGTAGCCTGTTCAGTTGCATCAGGAAATACAAGCAGAGAATCAGGTTCAGGTTCACACGGAGGCTGAACCCCAACAGCTTTTAATTATGACACATTCCTTTATGTACAGCTATATATAAACACACATCAGAATCCCCTGATGTCCTGTCAATCAATGACATGGGCAGAGATATACTCATGACAGAGGTAACAGATATGAGCAACAGATGTATGGTGAGAAACAAGAGAAAGAACTCAAGCTTCCTGCCCTCTTCAATACCCATTGCTTGTTCATTATCAGCCAGGGACAAACATGGATGATGCAACCCTCATCATGCCTGTCACAGGGTCATGACTCAGCTTCTTTCGCCTGTCCCGCCAGTTAACCCTTTAGTAGGTGTGTGACCACATGTCCATTAGAACTGTATTTCCCACCAGTTTAATACAATAGGGTTGCAGCCAATGCATTCCTGCCTAACAATGCATTCTCTATCTAACATCCTCTCCTTTGCGGCATGAGGCTTGGACAGGAGGCCCCTGACCCATTATATGTCAATGGGGAGGGGGGGGGGTCTTCATTCATTCATTCCTTACCCCCGTTTCTTCCAGGAGGAGCAAGGTGTCTCTGTCCGGCCTGGACTGACCCCCAGGTCAAAGGGGGGCCGCCGTGAGCTGCAGATGGGCTTCAGCGCCCGGCCCTATCACCTCCTGCAGGCCCCCAAACCGGACCTGGTCATTGGTGAGAGGAAGGCCAGGGGGAGGGGGAGAGAGCGGAGAGAGACCCCCATTAAGGGGAAGGGAGGGGCAAGGCATTGGGAGGGGCAGGAAGGTGGGATCTGCACCTGACACTTCGTCTCCGTCCCATCAGGATTTAACTCTGGATTCGCCCTCAAGGAGACCTGGCTGAGTTCTCTCCCCCGGCTCCAGGTAAGGCGATGGGCAGCAAAGCCCCCCCCCTTCCCTCTGAAGACCCCCGTGTCCCCTCCTGAGAGCCTTACCTGCCAGGTAGGAGGTTCATTGCATTACGAGTGCCTCTCTCTTAGCTTACTGCTAGTCCTGACTGGAGGAGACTCCTGGAGTCAATGGAGTCTAGTGGATTGTCTCTGGGCCGGATTGATCTATTGAATCCATATGATGCACCTGAGAGCCTTATCTGCCAGGTAGAAGGTTTGTTAGGTGAGGAGCATCTCTCTCTTAGCTGACTGCTAGTTCTGACTTGAGGAGACTCATTGAATCAATGAAGTTTATCTTTCCAGAGTGGATTTAGTGGGTCTATTCTAGTCCAGAATAACTCATATGCATCCATATACACCTGAGTGCCTTACCTGCCAGGTAGAAGGCTTATTGAGTGAAGAACGCCTCTCTCTTGACCTACTGCTACTCATTGAATCAACAGGGTTGACTTTTCCAGAGTGGATTCAGTGAGTCCAGTCTGGTCCAGCTTAACATATTAGGATCCACGTTATGCACCTGAGAGCCTTACCTGACAGGTAGAAGATTTATTGGGTGAAGAACACCTCTCTCTTGACCTACTGCTAGACTCATTGACTCAATGGGGTTGACCTTTCCAGAGTGGATTCAGTGGGTCCATTTTGGTCCAGATAAACTTTCATACACCTGTGAGCCTTACCTGCCAGTTAGAAGGTTTACTGGGTGATCTCTTAGCTTCCTGCTAGTCCTGACTTGAGTAGACTCATTGAATTGACAGAGTTTACCTTTCCAGAGTGGATGAAATGGGTCCATTCTGTCCAGTTTAATTCATATGCCTCTGTATACACCTGAGAGCCTTACCTGCCAGGTGAAGAGGATCTTTCTCTTGACCTACTGCTAGTCCTAACTTGACTCACTGAATCAGTGGAGTTTACCTTTCCAGAGTGGATTCAATTTAATCTGCCGTGGTCCAGATTAACGCATAAGGATGTGTACAATTCACCTGAGAGTCTTACCTGTCAGGTAGAAGGTTTATTGAGTTAAGAGCGCCTCTCTCTTGACCTACTGTTAATCCAGACTTCAGCAGACTCATTGAATCAATGGAGTTTACCTTTCCAGAGTGGGTCCATTCTGGTCCAGTTTAACTCATATGCACCTATATATACCTGAGAGCCTTACCTGCCAGATAGAAGGTGTATTGGGTGAAGAGCATCTCTCTCTTGACGTACTGCTAGACTCATCAACTCAATGGAGTTTACTTTTCCAGAGTGGATTCAGTGCGTCCATTCTGGTCCAGTTTAACTCATATGCATCCATATACACCTGAGAGCCTTACCTGCCAGGTAGAAAGTGTATTGGGTTCTGAGTGTATCTCTCTTGACCTACTGTTAGTCCTGACTTGAGGATTGTCACGGACACAGTTGAATTTTCAGAATGAATTCAGAGGGTCCATTGTGGTCTGGAATAAATCATATGCAGCCATATGATGCACCTGGGAGCCTTATCTGCCAGGTAGAAGGTGCACTGGGTGAAGAGCGCCTCTCTAGACTCATTGAATCCATGGACTTTACCTTTCAGAGTGGATGCAGTGGGTCCATTCTGGTCCAGAGTGACGCATAAGGATGTGTATGATGCACCTGAGAGCCTCACCTGCCTGGTAGAAGGTGCATTGGGTGAAGCGCTCCTCCCTCTCACCCATCGCCATGCTCTTCCTCCTTCCCTTGCAGTCCCTCCGGGTCCCGGCCTACTTCACCGAATGCAGCGAGTACAGTTGCGCCGTGGACGAGGCGGCCGTCTCGATGGCAACGGGGGGCACCACCAGCCCCGCCCAGGTCAACCCCTTCCGCTCGCCCTTCCGCCAAGCCGGCATCGACAATGCCATGCCCTGGTGCGTGACCTCTGACCCTGGGCCCACCTAAGTCCAGGCAATCCCCAGTTACGAACAAGACAGGTTCTGTAGGGTTGCGCTTAAGTCGGGTTTGTATGTAAGTTGGAACAGGGACAGAGTTTATGTGTGATTCCTGCCCTATCTATCTATCTATCTATCTATCTATCTATCTATCTATCTCTTTCTATCTATCACTATCTCAATCTCTATCTCTCTCTTTCAATCTATCTCTCTCTCTCTCTCTCTCTCTCTCTCTCTCTCTACATATCTCTCTTTTTCTCTCTATATCTATTTCTTTCTATCTCTCTACCTCTCTATTTCTATCTACCTATCTCTCTCTTTCTATTGCTATATCTCTTTTGATCTATCTATCTCTATCTCTATCTCTTTCTATCTCTATCAATCTCTTATCACTATCTTTCTCTCTCTCTTTCTGTCCTTCTCTCTCACTCACTCTCTGTCTGTCTCTGTCTATCTCTGTCTATCTCTATCTATCTATCTATCTATCTATCTATCTATCTATCTATCTCTTTCTATCACTGTCGATCTCTATCTCTCTATCTCTCTCTTTCAATCTATCTCTATCTATCTCTTTGTATCTCTATCTTTTTATCTCTATCTATCTATCTCTCTCTACATATCTCTCTCTTTTTCTCTCTATATCTATTTCTTTGTCTCTCTACCTCTCTATTTCTATCTACCTATCTCTCTCTTTCTATTGCTATATCTCTTTTGATCTATCTATCCACCTATCTCTATCTCTTTCTATCTCTATCAATCTCTATCTCTATCTTTCTATCTCTCTCTTTCTATCCTTCTCTCTCAGTCTATCTCTTTCTATCTCTATCTATCTATCTCTATCTATTTATCTATCTCTTTTTTATCTATCCATCCATCCATCCATCCATCCATCCATCCATCCATCCATCCATCTATCTTTTTCTATCACTGTCTATCTCGATCTCTATCTCTCTATCTCTCTTTCTATCTCTCTCTCTATATATTTTATCTCTATCTATCTATTTATCTATCTATATCTCTATTTTTTCTATATATATTTCTATCTATCTCTATCTCTCTATCGCTATCTATCTATCTATATCTCTCTCTTTCTAACTATCAATCTCTATCTTTCTATCTCTTTCTATCCCTCTCTCTCTGGGTTTCTATCTGTCTATCTGTCTATCTATCTATCTATCTATCTATCTATCTATCTATCTATCTATCTATCTATC